AATGGGTTGCATTCAGTTGTGGTGGATGAGGTAAATATAATTGTTTAAGGGAGGGCTTGATAAGTATTTGAATAATGAAGACTTAATTGGAGTTTTTTTTTTTTTAATAAGTTTAATTTAGTAGATGAGGTAGTCTGGATGGTCCACTGGGTCTTTTTTTGTTTTGGAATTAAGTTAACTGATGATAAGTATTCTCATTTGGCTTCAAAATTGACTTTCTAAAAATTAAAACTAAATTTTAGTTTTTCAATCTCAACATATAACAAAATGTTACAAATATTAATCCAATGTTCATCTTTCCCAAATATTCCCATAGCTTTTGTAACTACATCCTCATTAGTGGTTAACAATAAATCTAAAGTGGTATCTTCTCTGGTTGTCACTCTGACCATTTGGTATAGAAAACCATTCTCAATCACTTCGAGACCTTCACTACATGACTCATAACCTTAAAGTTTTTCATGATTATTGCATCAGTATCCTTTATAGGAACAACCTCTCTTTTACACCAATTGTCTGATCAGTTGGCCTATAACAACTGCCTGTTAAAAACTTTGTACCCTTGAAACCTCTACTTGTAACCATTATAAATATAACCAATTTTTTGTGTTCAGTCTCAACTGGGTACAGCTCAAACATTACATATAGCTCAACTCTACCCTTCTTTTGAAAGAAGGCTATCATTGTCAACTAATTTATAACCTGGAATTTCAAAATAATTCCTATTACCAGTATATTCTACAAATCTAACCAAGTTTCAGTAACTCCCATTTCAACTTGTCTACAACTCATCTATTTAATTCCTAATACTCTTAACATTAGAATAATAGTAACTGATCTTATTATACAATATATTATGTTTATATTTTAATAATAAACTTGTCTTCAAGTATTATTTAATTTGTGCTCTAAATCTTTTTTTTTCAATTTCTTCTTTCCCATAGCTATCCCATCAACTTGTTTTTACCAAGTTTCTCAAATTTCATCTCCACTATGCAATTTTAGTTTAGTCTGTCTTTAATGATATTCTTTACTGGTTCTACAAACACCCTGCTACACTTGCTATCTAAAAAAGCACCTATCTGTAACATATAGTTCATCCTTAAGCTCAAGACTAGTTAAATTAATACGTAAAATAATTACAGTTATAATATATGATAGAAAAGCATAATGCAATACAATTTAGAATTTGTATTTCTCTGAATATCTGAGTTCGTGAGAATAAAACAGAGACTAGACACAATGTAAAATACAAAAGCTCGGTCTTTATTATAATGTAACACAAACACAGTATGTGTACATGCTTTTTGGATGATGGACCATCACTTGTATTGAGATTAAGTCTACTCTTTTCTACTGTTCATGCTAATATCATTCATCAGACTGTTTAAATTCAATGCTCTTTACATCACGGGTAACATCAGATTTATCCAGAGTGAGTTAAAAAGAAATTATGAAATCAAAAAAGTCTTATGAGAAACAACTCTCTGATAATGTTAAAACTAATATCAAGAATTATTTTAAGTATGCTAAATGTAGCAAAATGTCAGAATGGGGATAGAGTCATTTAAGGATGCTTATGGTGAAGTTTTTGAAGACTGAGATGTGTGAGGATTTAAGTGTTCCTCCCTCTGTTTTTGTAAGAGTGAATGTTAGCAATATTCCTGACCCTGAGCATTCTTAAAGAAATATTGGAATTAATTTGAATCATACTGATATTAATCTATTAATTGTAAGTGAATAGAAGGAAATATTAGAAACTGATTGATCACCAGTACCAAACATTGTTTTTACCAGGGTTTTAAAGGAGATCAGATGTATGAACCTTTTATTCCCTTTTCATAGGTCTGGTGTATAAATACACCATGCATTTTCTACATACTTATATTAATAGTATTATTCTAAAATTATCAGTTATTTCTGAGTATTTTCTGTTTCTGCATAATACGTATTCAAGAAAGGCTAATTGCCTTTGTTCTTTTGAGGTCATGACTGTTCTGATCATAGGTTGTGGGGCTGTAATGCCACACTCTGTGCAAGAATGTAGACAGTAGTGCTCTGTAATGGTATCTTTAAAGTTACAGATTCCCCTATGCTTGAATGAAAATAACCAGCCATGTGGATAGTGCTAGTTGACATGGATAAATATCATGTAACCTGTGAAATAAGGAATGTTGAATTTAAACAGTCTGATAGATAATATTAGCATGATCAGTAGGAGAGAGCAGACTTAATCTCATTACAAGTGATGGTCCATCATCCAAAGCAAGTACACATACTGCATTTTAGTTACATTATAATGAAGACTGAGCTTTTGTATTTTACATTGTGTCTAGTCTCTCTGTTTTATTCTCATGAACTCAGATATTCAGAGAAACACAATATTATCATAATAAATATCTGGCTGAATCTCCTATTATTCTGTGTACATGTCCCATCACTAAAGGAAGCCAGTTTGACCTGAATACACTGCAAGTCAATACACAGTGGACAGTTACTGGAGAATTGGAGAGTTACTAAAGCTACTATTTTAAAAGGGAATATAAACATTTCCCCTGGAAATTTTAGACCAGTTAGTCTGACTTCTGTAGCTAAGGGGTGGGGTGTAAATTCGATAAAAGCAGAAATGTAAAATCATGTACTAAATATGTTATAAATGATTATGGAAAGACTGTTGTCAAACACTACCTTTTGGTAAGGTACCACTTAGAAGAAAAGCCACATCACGGAGTGTTAGTGAAAAATTAATTAATTGGATTATAGAATGACTGAATGAGAGAAAACAAAATGTGTTATTAATGGAGTCTAGTTACTAGTGGTTTGTCATTTGCTTACTTCTATTTAAGTGTGTACATTTATGGGACAACAAGGAGCTTACTGGTCTATCAAGGCTGTCCACTCCAAATTAAATCAACCAAAAACAATATGCTTAAATGCTGTCCTGATCATTTAACTACTGATCATGCCTTCCCTTAACTTCATCCACCACATTAAGCAACTCATTCTAATAGCCAAATATCATGTTAGAAAAGTAAAAACTATCTAAACTAGAGGTGACTCCTACCCTGTCAAAATGTATATTTGTTTTCTCTTGTTTTTCCACTCTCATCATTAAATATGAAAAAAGATGATGCATTGATACTGTCAATTCTATCAATAATCTTGGACACCTCAGTCAGATTCCTCTAACTTTTTGATTTTTCAAGAGAAAATAACTTCTGAGATCTTAACTTGTCCTTGTATAACAACCTTTCCACCCCAGGTATCATCCCAGTAGTTTTTTGAAACCTTTCCTACAATTCAATGTTTTTCTTAAGGTAAGGAGCTTAAGAATGAACACAGTAATTCAAATTAGAACTAACTAGTGATCCATACAATTAAATTATCACCTGTTTACACATGTATTCAATATTTTTGTAAATATGACCCAAAATCCTACCACTAATAAAAACATGCTACTCAGATGGCTTAAGAGATAAGTCAGCCAAAACACCAAGATTCTTCCATAACACTATGAAGATGATTCCAATCAAAATTACCTTGCATTTATTATAATTAAAAGCCATCTGCCAGTTATTTGCCCAGCTTACCAAATGATCCAAGTATTTTTTTAAAGCAACAGCAACATCCTCACAGTCAGCAATACCCAAGACCTTAATATCATCAGCAAATTTAAGCAATTTATTGACCATACCTTTTATTCTATAAGTTTACTATTGCTTTCTTTAAAAAAATTTGAGTATTAAAAACATTTAATGCACAATAATTTTTAGGCTTACAACTATCTGTAAGTATTCATTTTACTCTTTTCCCCATTTCTCTCTCTCTCTCTCTATATATATATATATAAATTAAACACACACACATGTTATATATATGTACATTTTCAGTATCTGACCTGGTTTTTTTTTAATTACATATAAATCAGGCTTCTTAAAATTATATTTATTTATTGGAGAAAAGTTCAGCTTGTAATTAACTCTTGTTGAAAGATCCTTAGGTTCAATTTTTTAAGGTGTTTAAATAGATGATTCATTTCAAAATAATTCATGATGCCAACTAAGCCTTCTCTTGTTTAAATCTAATTTTACTAATCTGACTTAGAATTATACTAATCACTACCTAATTTCAATATTGTCAAAGCTAGTTACATATTTATATAGCATAAGCTTCAAAATTTGTAACATTATTTTCCTTAAAAATTGAACATATTTCTATCAGTCAAAACAGAATACTAAGAATAAAGAACAAACAAATATATATATTACTGAACAACAAAATATATTTAAAATTTGCCACAAGAAATTATACACGTATGTAAGTTACAATGACATACTGCTGCACAAAAGTGTATTTATGTATCCATATATTTGTGCACATTCCATGCAGATTATCAAGTTCTGAAATGGAATTGAAATTTCTGTAATGGAAATGTTAAATTAGGTTAATTTAATCATTTAACCTTCAAATTACTGATTTGCTTACTTACCACCCATTGCGTTGAGTAATCTTATGTTTTTGTCAGTTGCAACACATGATGTAAAGAACTGAACAAAAATAAAGGGTGGAAATGCAATTTTTCTATGTAAAGTACATTGAAAACCCAACAGTTATTAACCCATTGACTGCTGATTCGCCATATAGGGTACAGTCTGTCTTTAACAGTTGAGTGCAATTGTGCTATATGCAGTGTATGGCTTGCAAAATTTCTATGTGCGTTTAGAGCAGCCATAGTCAATGGGTCAGTGAGACTACTTGCAATAACAATGACATTTTTGTTTAAAATGTTTTTTGTCTTTGTTTTTCTATCAAAAGTTTAAAAAATAAAAGTAAACTCCATCAATAATTCTATGGTTAAGAAGACTACAAAAATGAAAAGTAAATAATTATAGCTTAGTTACTTAGTACTGCAGTATATTTTCTTGTGTTTAAACATGTTTAAGAAGAAGTAATGTATATAATTAACATTTCTAATACGTATTTCAATTCTTATTTTTCAGTTTTCTATATTCAACAGTATCAGTGGTGAGGCAGTTCAGTTAACATCACACAACTTCGACAGATATGTTTGTGAGTAGTGGATTAATATAAGCAAAATTATAATGGTAAATGTATGACAGAGTAAGAATACATTCAAATATTACTTTTAACATGGAGAGAAGGATCAATATTGTTATTGAACTTATGTGTGATGCTACATTACCAATATTAACTGTACAAGTTGTAATTAATTCAGTGAAGAAGAACATATAAGATTGCATTGAGAGTTGTACATCTTTTAATATGCTGTTTTATTTATTATGATTATCTTGTCCCATAACATGCATAACTAGGTCATAGACAATAGCTTCAACTAATTCAGTTACAACACAGTTGATTAATCCTGGGAACTGTTTATTGACACATTAAGATGAGTTACACAAAACAATTTCATAAATATTGGACAAGTGACATTCACATGCTGATCAGTGAATCCAATCAGGTAGCAGTAGATTAAAACCTATGCAACAGTAACAAAAAACTACTAATTCCCCACCAAACTTGGCAATTAAGTATTTATATACTGCAACTCAGCATACATCAGCATTGTGTCTACAATTAATAACATAACATTTTCTCACAAGCCAGTCAACAACAAATACCTTGTAGAAAGAATGTGGCTGTTTAGTTGCATCATATACATTAGACAAGATGATACCACAAAATATAAGTAGGAAACTTGTAAGTTATTATTAATAGAAGTTACATATGTGCATAATGTAATAAGTGTGTAATGATATGATGGTATATGTAATGATTATGTGTCAACAGATGCCTACATCTGAAGGAAGAAATAATGATAACCTAATTTCTCAGAATATACATAAATCATTTCCCATGTTACAGTCTACAGTTAGTTATATATATCTATGTCTGTTTCAGAAATTACAACTTGTAGCTTAATATAAGTTATCAAAATGTTAATAAAAACATATAAGTTGTGGTCTTTCTTTTTATTAATATGCAATATTAAAGTGCAATTATATGATGTTATTTTTTGTAGATTTTCCATTTTTTTATCTTTTACATGCATCTTTAATGATACAATTATCTTAACTTAAAACAGCAGAAATGTTAACAATATTTGTATTTTCAATTTTATCTTCATAAAGATTAGTTAACATTTCTTATAACTATTATCACACTTAAAACTTTTATATACTGTACAAACCTCTTTGGCATAAACTAAACCTGACACTAAAAATAATAGGTTATGATTGGCTAGTTCTCAAGACTAATTCATATAGAACATCCGTGCCTATATATTTCATTACACTCATTAAACATGACCCTTTATTCTCCTGAAGAAGAATAGTGAACTAATCGAAAGTTCTCAAGTTTTGGGTTATGTTTGAAAACTGTTAAAACTTTTATATGTGATCCTGTGTGCTAACTTCTTAATCAGTTTGGTAAAATCATCTACTGACTTTTATCTCTTTATTTTATTAATATGAGGGGAAAAAATATTTGTTACCCATAATTATAAATTACAAGTATGCCTGTGAATAGTTTGATAAGTTTTTTGTTCTTTTTAGACAATGTTTTATTGATATCAATAAATGAATTACATGTTGATTGTGTTTTACAGTTATAAATTGATAATAGTATAAACAAAACAAGTAACTAAATGCTGTGAATGTATTGTGTATTTAATAAGAAAGTTGGTTATCGCTTACAATACATCTGTACGTATACAAGCATGTTAGTCATATGCTGGTTGATAAAAATATATATAGAAATAATGTATGAAATAAAATATACTGTAAAATCAAACTGACTTCTGTTTTCATGTCATATGAATTCTACTTGATATATATCTATATAGTTTTTATTTTATGAATTGATTCATGAACTAAAAATGAAAGCTAATGCATGTGATTATACAGTAATTATATATACTATATAATTGTTTTTCTCTATGTGTGAAACTGAATGTATAATCACTTAAATCTTATTTTACTTTTTTGTGTGTTACAGTAAGCCATGAATTAGTATATCTTAATTTTTATGCTGATTGGTGCAAGTTCAGCCAGATCTTAGCGCCAATTTTCAATGAGGCTGCAGACCGTATAACAAAAGAAGTTCAAGTAAGTTTGTAAAACTTGTTTCCATGTTTGGAGGATTATTTTTATTTAACTATGTTTTAAAGTTACAAAGAATATGCAATCTTCAAATAATAATATCTGTCTGAAGGTTTCTTAGCATTTCCTAAAAATGTATTTAATGATAGCAGCAGCTCTAACAAATGAAATATCTCTGTTTTCAGGAACCTGGTAAAATTCTTTTTGGAAAGGTAGACTGTGATACAGAAAGTGAGTATTAATTCTAACAATAAAAAAAGTGATAATTTTATTTTCATATATTTTTGTGCATGTTTTAATGAATATTTATTCCATATGTCACATGTGATTTAGACCTCATCATTACAATTTCACATGATAACTTGTTCCATCTTCCTTTCTGATTCTTTTGTATTGGTTGTAATTATAGAGTCAGTTTAGCTCTATATGTGGAAGTTAGAAGGATTAAAGTCTTCTATTGAAAAAAATATGTCATCAGTGCATATTTAAGATTATAGTACATTTAATATTTACATTGACTCATTTTGTAACTATTTTCTAATTGTATGTACTGACTCAAATTGTCTTTTGATAAAGCTAACATTGCAACCAGATTTCACATCACAAAATACCCAACTCTAAAACTGTTAAGGAATGGAAAACTCATGAAAAGGGAATATAGGGGTCAACGGTCAGTAGATGCCATTACAGAATTCATTCGAGACCTCTTAAAAGACCCTGTTGTTGAAATAAAGGAGCAAAGTGATTTTGATAACATTAAAGTAAGTTTTTACAATCAGCTTTTAATTCTGTATTTTGTACTCAGCCAATTTCATGATAAAAGTAATTTGAATACTTAATTTCACATAAAGTATCTGATTTGTACAGAAACATAGTTGATGAACATAAATTTCTCAAATCTTGCAATCATTTACCATTTGTTACCAGTATTGCACAGAAGGTGCTACAACAGTAATATTTACTGCTTTTAATCAAAAACTGTGTATTGAATATTAAAGTGCTTACTATGAAATAAAGTAGAAGAAATGCTGTTTCCATGGTTATTATAATATCATAATTGATAAAACTTTTATTATAATTTAGTGCTTTTTGAGAATTTTAAGCTTAGTTTCCTTAGATGTCTGCATTTTAAAACATTGCGGTCCTTCTATACATGGAATTTAGTCTTAGTTTTGAAATAGATCTAGATGTATACCTGAATTGTAGATCTAGAAATAATCTTGTTAGATTTTTTAGTTTATAAAACCTACTTTAAATTTTACAGTATAAATTTTTTTTAAGATTTCTAAAAAAAATACTAATAGTAAAATTAAATCAACAGAACTAATATATTTATATTGAATAACTTTGAATCTCACATTGAATAAACCAATGAAAAAAATGTCTTTTAATAGGAAAGTACAGGGGCAGGGATATTGTATCTCTCTAGTAGAGCTCATCGTCAATATGAAGTGTTTAGAAAAGTGGCCATGGACCTTCGAGATGATTGCCAGTTTTTTGTTGTAACAGGGTATGTTAAAACTAGAGATACTGGTAAAATATGAGAAATTACATTTTAAGTAAAGGATCTTCATCAAATTTGATCATAGACATTGATAGGCTTAAGTATTAACCCTTGTTTAACAGGGTATAAAATTATGTGGAAATTAACAGGTCTAACAAGAAAGTTAGGATATATCACAGAAAGGTAAGCATATCTTTATGTTATCCAGTAGGAAAAGCAAGAAAATATTGAATTTTGTGGTTGTAAGTTCTTTTGGGCTGTTTTTATTCTTACACATTACTCAGATAATAAGAGACTAAAAAAATGCATATTTGAAATTTATTTTATAGGTAGCTGGGCCAGCTTATCACAAAGTTGGCTGTTTTACTTGTATACAAAATATGTACCATGCTGCAATTTTAAGCCTAATCATCAGTATGAATGATATACTTTCATTGACAGAAACCTGTATGTTATCACACTCACACACAATTATTTCTTGTTAACTGACTATAAAGGTAACATAAACAAGAGAATGAAATATTGTTAATTTAATAAGGGAAAGAGGGTTTGTCAAAAAAAATACAGAAACAAGTTGAATCAAAATGCAAAGACTATATTTTCAAGCCTACAACTACAGACTCTATAAAATGTAAACAAACTGGGCTGGAAATAGTGTATACATTATTTTCTAACGCTACAAATCTCTAATCTCTATTTTGACTTCTTGTCTACAGTGCTTATCAATTTAGTTTTTTTTTTGCTATCTGCCCATCAATGAAAGTTAAACTTACTTTTTTTTGTGATGATGGTACTAGCATATTACGTAATCTTTATCTATTTAAAGCATATACATGATATAACAAAGCAATATAACTTATAATTTAACTGGCTTTCTATATAAGTATAAAATAATTCCCTTAGCTACTCAATCTGAACTGGGTGATAGCAACTTTGAATCTGATCGAGAAAGAAGTAAAAATTTGTACTGAGAACAGAGTAGCTTTATAGTTCATTCAGTAAATTAAAACTTTGTATTTCTGAGATGATACTTGCCTCTGTACATAGTTTAACTATCTTTCTTGCCTGTTTGCCAGAGATTTATATGCTATCAGTCTTAAGACAACTCCCACCTCATTTCACATGATTTTGCTGATATGTGATGATGTCATTGTGTGACAAAAGCTCTCCACCAATAGGACGGTGACAAACTTCCTTGTGTAATAACTTCCCTCCTCTGCACTTGCACTCATGGTAATCTCTTTCTTCTCCTCAACATTGTATTGAACAGACATATTCAAATTTCTCTTCTGCATTTGCATTGTTAATGAAACTTGATTTTTGTTTTTTATGGCTTTTGTTTCAAAAACTTTATTTATTTTTCTGAATTCTCAAATGATGGTGATTTATAATTATTCCTGAATGAGTGACACTGATCACAATTAGGCCTTATTTCTACTATGGCTTTTGGAAGCTTGTTAACTGTGAGGGTCATTGCAGCCATTGCTCAGTATGTTGTGGATTACCATATGCTTACTAGGCCTTCTACTCCCTTTCTGTTAGCCAAATTGCTTTCTACTCAGTTGGAAATGATCTATTGAAATACAACTTTCACCTGATTTGTTTTGGGTAGTACCTTACAATGTGTGAAACCTTTCTAACTCTTTGGTTTTCATTCTCATGCATGTTCCTTTCCCTATTTTTTATATGTGTTCTTTATTATTTTCTTACTTCATGATTCTTGGAGTTTACCGTATCTTTTCTCCTTGCTTGTTATTAGGATTTATGCTGCTTCCTTTCTCTAACAGCTTCTTTCTCATGTCCAAATGCCTCACCTCCCTCATGTTCATGACTCTTTTTTTTACCTGAGTTTCATACAGTCTTCCTTTTCTCATTCCCTATCATTGGTATCTGTTTGGCCAGTTTGAAGGATTAAGCTCCTAACCTCCTATATCACTTTCTGGCTTCACATTTTAGTGTTTTTATATTTTTCTCTCTACCCTTTTGTATTCTCTTTCCTAACTCTGCCTTTTACTTGAGGCAATTCTTCGTGCTTCAGATATGCTTCTCTAAACATTAATTCCCTTCTTTGTTTGGCCTGTTTCACTTCTTATGCTCTATACCTTCGTACCTTATTCCCCTGTTATTGGGCCTTGTTGGGTCAGGTTATGTTCCCTTTTAACTATTCTTCTTATGTATTTGTTATTCAGCTGGCTCTCTTTTTTTTGTCCAGATATCTTTAGTGGAGCTCCTTTCTCCCTGATGTTATACAGCTTCTGTCTTCTTTATTTTCTTGGGTTATTTCCTCTGTCTCAACTTTGCCATTTCTTCCTATTCCTCTTCTAGATCAGTCTACTCCTAATCTTCCCATTCAGGATTCCAGGTCTTCCTCTTTTTCTTCTCTTCCCTCTGCCAGAAGTATATATAGTTTGTCACTCTTCTTGTCAGTGACTTCCATACTCTCACAATTCTGTGTATACCCATCTCCTCTCCTGCTGTTGATCTCATTTTCTGTTTACAGTCATTTTTCATTTCTCCTCCTTGGTCTCTTTCCTCACTCCTATTCTCTTCACTTCTCTTCTCATTTTCTTTTTTACCTCCCTCTGATGCTATCTGTCGTCATTTTCACCCAATTTAGAATTGGCTATGGTTGATGTGTCTGACCTTCCTACATGTCACTTTCAACCTGTCATCCATTTGTTTTCTATGTTCCATTCATCTTTTCTGTGTTATCCAATTACTTGCTCTTCTCTTCAACTTAGTCTTGGCCCATTTGTATTCAATGGTATTGTGATGGCTTTTGTTTTGCCATTTTCATGGTCTGGGGCTGATGTTCCTTTTCTTAAATTGTTTACTTCTGTTTGTAAATTATTGTATGTTTTCTCCCACCTCCCTTCCTTTACAGTGGCTACTGACATTTGGATGCTGAACAAGCATTCACTCTACATCAGCATGTTCAACCTTCTTGCTGTTCATTGGGCATGTTCTACTCATTATATTCCTTGATGGTTTATTACATCAACCAGGGGCTTTTGCTTTTGAGCATTAGACATTCACATCAGGTAGATCTTCTTGCCTGTCATTTGCTGGGATCTTACATCTTGGTGGTGGGATGCCTCTATTGGCCAGTTTGCTTTCTATCAGCAGAGTGGTCTCAACACCCCCAGGTTTTTTGTAGGGTTTGTTCTTGATTGAATACACCCCTCATGGATGAATTTGCCACCTTTCTCAACTCTGTGTTTCCTTTTTACTTGTCCACATTCTTCATCCTTCAGATCTGGCTATTGATTTTCTAAGCCAGATCTGGTCTCATCTCTTTCTATATGCATATTTCCCTATTTGTTTCCTCCCTCTGATTATTGACTTTACACATTTATCTCCTTCTTGGGCCTTATTGTTGGTGTCTCTTTTCTGTTTGACATTCCAACCCCTCCTTCTTCACCCAGTGTCTCCTCTCTCTCTCTTGCTTCACCCTCATGCATCACTTCTTCATCAAGTGATATCTTCAATCCTCACACATGTAATTTGCTCAACTTGTCACCCATTGTGCCAGACTTTCTGATTGTGTGGCATTCTTCTTGTCACATTCTGGTTGCCCTTCCACTGTCTCACTGACTGTGATGGTTCTTTTGTCATTGGTCCTTCTGCCATTCCATTCCTCCTGGCTGTTATATTGTGAACCACCTTTCTGTCTTTTTTTTACCTGACTGTTTAACAATGACTTATCAATCTCTGCCTTTCTAGTTGTTGAGAGGTCTTATCCATGGCATTTCACTTTTCCTGGTACCACAAGGTGGGTTTTTCCTCTGTCCTCTTCACTCTGTTTTGCTCCTTTCCCAATTTTCATGCCTGACTGAAACCTTAATGAAGTTTTGCATGATGTCACTCATGTTCCGTTCGAGCCATTGACTTCTTGCTCTTTTTACTGTATTTTACTCCTGACTTGTTTTCTTCTTCTCACCTGTGTTTACCTTTGGATGTTTATCTTACAGAAGCTTCTCACACCCTCTTCTATTACACTTACATATTCCTCTCCCCAAGTAGATATTTCCTTCTTCAGACTTCGACTGGTCTCGAGTGTAACAATATTTCTCTCCTGTTTCTCACCTGTTAGATCATTTGGATCAGGATTGGCTCCTGTATCCTGTGTGAGCTGTTCAGTGTGCCTTATAATGGATGTTGTATCCTTTTTGGGGTTCCCCTTTACCTGTCCCTACCCTGGGATTCCTCTTTTTCCAAGGTCCTCTCTCTCCTTCTACCCTTACTGGATGGGTCTGTTGACTCTTCCAGTCCAAACTGCATATCATTGGTGCCATCCTCCTGCAGCTGCAGTACATCCTGTAAAGTTTGATGGTAGAGTTGAGGCAAACACCTGTTATATGAATCCATATTGCATCACTGATGTGCCCTCATCCTGCAGCTGAATTCTGTCCCATAGACTCTGATGGTAGGGTTGAAATGTGCATATGTAGAATATCAATCTTTACTACATAACAGATGTGCCCTTCTCTCACAGCTAGAGTATCTTATAGAGTTGAGGTGAGCACACAAGATATGGTCTGAATGTGCCCCAACCATACTATGCATATTGACTATTTGACTGCTTTTGTGCAAATGCTCGAATGGTCACGTTCTCATTTCACCTGGCCCTGTAACACATGGGGCTCAGTTGCCTCTTTCCTTTTTCCTTTTTGGGCAAAGAATATACCTTGACTGAGACTAGATGCATTCTCCCATGGGTGTGCCTCTATGGAGCTCCTACTATTGGGTGTCATACTCCATAAGCTTTCTTCGGGTGCTTTCTAAAGGGCACCCATCTAAAATTTGCCCCATCCCCCTTATCATTTCAATGTGAGATTCTAGCCAAACTATGTGTGGAGGTAAGTTATCTCAGAAATTATGTTTTTTACCTGTAAATGTATTTTTGATAAATACGTTTACACACCTTCTCCACACTTTTGGTACACTTTTATTTTGCCTCATCAAAGAATGATGATACCATGAGTGCAAGTGCATAGGGAGAGTTA